TTTTTTTCATTTTCGTGGCAAGGTTTGGGAAGGTGGTGGTGGGGGTGGGGGAAACGCTGTGTCAAGGCGGTCCTGAGCGATGGGTCCGAGGGCCGGTTTTGCTAACGAGCGGCCTCCGTCTCCTTTGTCCTTCGAAGCACTCAGGCAGCTGGAGATGAGAAGCTGTCAACAGCCGACGAGTTAAAGATGTACAGGAAGGCGTGAAATTGTCAGCGACAGCGGTGCCAGGCATTAAATGCAACATGGCCACCCCACGTCAGCGGTTTCACTCCGAAAGCTAGATTGTCTCCAAAGCTGCAGACACTGACATCCCTAATCGGGTAGGGTCTGGGGGGGGGGGTCTCAGATGTTCCCCGTCTGCCCCCCCCCCTAGAGCCACCCATCTCTTTCCGAGAAATCACAGTTACCAACTAACAAACACTATCTGAGCAGGTAAGGCAGGCTTCCTCAACCGTGGCAACTTTAAGACGGGTGGACTTCAACTCCCAGAATTCCCCAGCCTTTCTCTCTCTCTCTCTCTCTCTCTCATCTCCCTCTCTCTCTCTCTCCCTCTCTCTTTCTCACTTTCTCCTCTCTGGCTCTCTTTCTCTTTTCTTTCTCTTTCTTTCCCCCCTCTCTCTTTCTCCTTCTCTCTCTCTTAATTTCTTTCTCTTTCTTTCCCCCTCTCTTTCTCTCTCTCCTTCTCTCTTTTCTTTTCTTTTCTTTCTTTCTTTCTTTCCCCTCTCTCTATCTTTTTTTTCTCTTTCTCTCTCCCCCTTTTTCTCTCTCTCTGTAATGCTCCTGGCCAAACTTGACTGCAACCTGGGCTTGAAATGCACACACACACACACACACACACACACACACACACACACACTTGTTGCAAACTGACTTTTCAATGAAAACAGAGATATTGATGAATAGCCTCTTCCCCTGAAGAAGTTCCAGATTTGGTAACAACGCTTGGGTGATGTTTGCTGTGACCTCTATTTCACACAGACAAGCTGATACCTGCCCCCCCCTTTCCCCCTCCTCTCACTTATTTGCACACTCCATCCTTTCTTAAAGTGGTTCTTGTGTCCTCACAATTTAGAGGTCTCCTTTCTACAACACACCCTCTTCTTTTTCTGCTGTAACAAATCAGTAGCACGCACCAAGGGGAAGAAAAAAAAAAGACAACAACCCAGTTTTACCGGCAGATAAAGCTAGCCCTATCATTCCTTTTGAATGTCACTAGGAAAATTGCAGAGAAACACTCTGAAATTCAAATGAGAGCTTGCTAGAAACTGCTAAAACTCATCAAATGCTTTTTGCTTTGAAGTCTGCTGGGAGACTGGCCATTTCTTTCAAATTAGTCCCTGTTGAAAATGAAAACCCAGGGAACTGGAACATTAGCATACCAGAGGGTTTGAGATGGGAAAAATGCCCCCCCACTTTAAAAAAAATAGTAAGAGAGAGAGGGAGGGAGGGAGGGAGGGAGGAAGGAAGGAAGGAAGGAAGGAAGGAAGGAAGGAAGGAAGGAGAGAAAGAAAAAGAGAAGGAAGGAAGGAAGGAAGGAAGGAAGGAAGGAAGGAAGGGAGAGAAAGAAAGGAAGGAAGGAGAGAAAGAAAAAGAGAAGGAAGGAAGGAAGGAGAGAAAGAAAAAGAGAAGGAAGGAAGGAAGGAAGGGAGAGAAAGAAAGGAAGGAAGGAGAGAAAGAAAAAGAGAAGGAAGGAAGGAAGGAAGGAAGGAAGGAAGAAAGAAAGAAAGAAAGAAAGAAAGAAAGAAAGAAAGAAAGAAAGGAAGAAAGAAAGAAAGAGAAAGAAAGAAAAAAGGCCATTATTTTTCACTTTCAAAACAGGGCTCTTAGCACATTAAGCGTACATGAAAGGACTTATGACTAGGTGACCTCCATGTTTGTAAATTGGGCCTCCGGTCTGTCAGCCGCTCTCCAGCTGAATTGCATGGAAACCTACATGGCCAAAGATTTAACACAACAACAACAGAACAATTCCTTTTACGGAAGTGTCATATCTTCTTCCTTCCTTCCTTCCTTCCTTCCTTCCTTCCTTCCTTCCTTCCTTCCTTCCTTCCTTCCTTCCTTCCCTCCCTCTTCCTTCCTTCTTTCCTCTTTCTTTCCTTCCTTCCTTCCTTCTTTCCTTGTCCTTGCTTCCTTTTCCTCCCTCCCTCCCTCTCTCTTTCTTGTCTGTGTGTATTTTTTTCTTTTCTTTTAATTTGCCCCAAATTGCTTTCTGCATTCTGCAATGTTCTCGAAATGGAGATGGCCCCGTTTGGGATCTGGAGAGAGGACAGGATTTTGGGTGACGGAGAAGACAGGTGTGTGTGTGTGGGGGGGGGGAAATCAGCTGTCTAGGAAATTCACGCTTTGCATTTTATGCCGTGGGGTTGCAAAGCGTTCCTTCCCTAGCCTGGAAGTCAGAGAGCAGATCGCCTCAAACAGGCCCCCAAGCCAAAAAGGAAAAAAAAAAGAGAGAGAGAGAGAGAGAGAAAAGAACCCAAAGGGGGGGAAAAAAGCAGATTTTTGCAGAGAGTGGCATTCACTGAGCTAATGTGGGGGACACCGAGGAAAACCACCAAAGGAGCTGTCAACGGCAGGCAGATTAAGCTGTGAAGCACGGAGTTGTAGCTGGAATATTAATTTGGGAAGGCCGAGGAGGAGGAGGAGAGGGATATCTTCATTTTGTGGGGAGAAAGAAAAAAAATGCATATTTTAGGGGGACTCTTCTCTACCCAATCAGGGTAGGAAGATTCGTTTTGAGGATCGATTCTTTTTGGAGAATTTTACAGCCGGAAAACCCGAGACATCACGATGGGAAGAACTCCAGAAAAAACGAGGTTCCTGGCTTTGCAGAGAAGGTTTGGTAGGAAAGGGGGAGAAAAAAAAAACGAGAATAGCTCTTTCAAAGGGACAGGCTTCTGATCTGGTAACATCTGGCTTTGCTCCGGAGAGGAAACCGAGGCTGGATGGCCAGCGGTAAAGGATGGCATCCTGCGCCGGGCTGGGGTTGAGCTAAATGACCTCTGAGGTCCCTCTCAAGCCTTCATATTCTGGGCCTCAGGATAGGAAGGCTCAGCTCCCCCCTCCCCCACCTTTGGAGCAAACGCTCCTAACCCATGATAAATGTTTTAATTTATGATTTATTCGATTCATTGGCCCCCTGGCAGTGAGAGGTCAGCCAATAAATTGAATGAAACATAAATAAACAAAAATAAATCTATTTATGCGTTTGTCGGATTTCTGTAGCAGCCCATCTCAGCAAAAAACAAGTCTAGATGATCTTAAAGCATACTGGCTGGGGGATTCTGGGAGTTGAAGTCCTCCCCTCTTAAAGCAGGCCGGCTGGGGGATTCTGGGAGTTGAAGCCCACCCCTCTTACAGTTGCTAAAATTGAGACATTTCAAAATGCATTTTCCAAGCTGACGCCTCCCCAAACATCCTTCCAGGATCTAAATATACAAAATATTTTAAAAACAACAACAACCCCAATTCCATTCTAAAGGATAAACCTCCCCCCAACACACACGCACACACAACCCCTGCGCTGTGTTTCCCTGATTCGTGTAAACGGCCTATTAGGCCAAATTACCCTTAAACGGGAGGGATGTGGTGAAAGCACCTCCTGTTGGCTTTCAGTTGGGTTAGATGAGTTGAGCCCTTTTCGCTCGTAACCCATCAGGGATAATCCCAAAATAATTGGTTCGAAGGCTCGCGCCTTGGCAGTGTGTAAAAATCAATTCCCCTTTTTTTTCCTTTTTTTTTTTTTTTTTTTGCAATCATGCTGGACCGGAGCGATTCTGCCCCAGAAGGACGGGAGAAATTGCAAGGTAGGAAAATGATCAAGGCCGGTCAAGCTGAAGGAACCGGCCGTTGACCGAAGAAAAGAACAGTCGGTGAAGTCTCGGCAAAGAAAGAGGGGTCGACTTTGACCTTAGTCCAAGGGTTTAAATGGGTGGGATTTTGGGGGAGAAGGTGCCCCACAATTTGGAAGGAAGCCACGGATCTGCAAAAAGAGAGGATGTCCAGATGTTGAGCCCGCTGGAGTTGGTTCTGGCCGAGCAGATCAAGCCTCGTGCGAGAATTCTTTCTGCACCTAAGGTCCAAATGCTAATGCTAATAATAATAATGATGATGATGTGTGGGAATAGAAGGACTGAATGCCTTCTTTGACCTCTGACCTCTGCATGGGATCAAGGCAACTTAGTTTGCAAAGCTGGAACCGGATCTCTGGTTGAAAAGACAGCTATTTTATCTTTTATATTATTTTATTTATTTTTTTCTCCATTTGTCATTTATTTTTTTTTATTTTTTGTTTCATCCATTCATCTTTCTTTTTATTCATTTGTTCATTTTTCTATTTCAATCCTGCCTTGAATTTTAACAGTCGGTTTCTCTTTCGTTCCTTCAATTTTTCATTCATTCACCCATCCATCCATGCCTTTTTATTTTATGTGTTTGTTTATTGATTCATTTCTTTTTATTTACTTATATTTATGTTTTGTTTCTTAAAATTAATTACACAAACAGGGGCTCTAGCCGGTTTTATTCATTCATTCATCCTTTCGTTTTTATGTTATTCATCCGTTGATTTTTATTTTCTTCACTTATTTTTATTCTTTTTTATTTTATGCGTTGATTTTTATGTTACTGGGTTTTTTATTTTTTTTAATTTATGTTTTGTATTTCTTAAAATTAATTTCACAAAGACCGGCTGTGGGAGGCTTTATTCTTCCATTTGTTTATATGGTATTTATTCATTCATTGATTTTTACTTTCTTCGTTGATTTTTATGTTATTATTTTTTATATTCTTCGTTTGCTTTTATATCATTTCTTCATTTTTATTTTATTCGTTGATTTTTATGTTACCGTTTTTTGTTTTCTTCGTTTATTTTTATTGTATTAATCCATTTGCTTGTTTTTTGGTTCAGCCGCTTATTCTTATTCATCCGTTCACTCGTGTTTAATTTATTAATTCATTTTTATTCGATTCATTTATTTATTTTGGTGTAATTGATATCCTACCTTTGTGTGCCCAGCAGTCTGTCCGATGCTTTTCTCCTCTCAGTTTCACAATCCAGATTTTTATTTCGAAATGGCTTATCGTTAGGCAGCCGAATCTGCAAAATAATAACATTGGGCAAATCTTGTTAAAAAAATGAGGAATTTGGGGGGGGGAGGCTCTCAGTGCACAGTGAATGGGACAAGGGAGAACACCCATAGAAAGGAATATTTGCAACTAATAAAAACACCCATAGAAAGGAATATTTGCAAATAATAAAAATCCATGTGTAAAAAAAAAAAGCATTTTTGACTGTGTATACTGACAATCTCTCTGGCACTGTTTCTCAACTTAAGAACTTTAAAACGTGTAGACTTCAACTCCCAGCATGCATTGCTGGCTAGGGGAATTCTGGGATTTGAAGTCCACATGTTTTAAAGTTCCTAAGTTGAGAAACAGTGCTGGAGAGAGTGTCAGCATGCCATAGAGTCAAAAATGCTTTTTTTTTTTTTTTTACATATAGATCGTGAGATCCTTGTTTTCCAGAATAAAGCAGGCAAAAAAAAATTAAAATAAAATACAATTGCCCGGTTGTGTTTGCGTCAAGACACAATCTATAAAAGTCACTTTTTTTTTAATGAGACTCAAAACTGAACTATAACCCCCCCTGGCTTTTTGATCTCCGTGCAAATTCCTAGCATAATCAAAACCCACAAATTTAGGATGACTTTCTTAAATTTCAAAAGGATCTGTGAATTGATAAATTTCTTTTTTAAAAAAAAAAAAAAATCACAACTTTATTCTCACTGACCTCAAACCGAAACGGCTTGTGGCGGTATCGATGCCACGGCTAAATAAAGAAGCTGAGGAAATTACTTGATTACAGATGTGTTATCTTTTTTTTAATCTCTTGATAACCGCCGCTGAGCCCAAATCGCTTTCCCTCGCAAGAGAATCTATATTTATAGATTTGATTATCCTTCAAACGTTGCGGAGGCTTATTTCATAAAGAGTTGGCTTTTCTGGGATGCATTTAAGCGTATTTTTCCCAGAAGGGGATCTGTTTAGTTTCTTCCCCCCCCCCATGATTCTTATTCTTAAAGGGATCCAGGTCACACAGGTCCCGATTCGTAGAAATATAGAATAACAGAGCTGGAAGGGACCTTGGAGGTCTTCTAGTCCAGCCCCCTGCTCAAGCAGGAGACCCCAGTTCAATCAATCAATCGGAATACAGCTGGAAGGGACCTTGGAGGTCTTCTAGTCCAGCCCCCTGCTCAAGCAGGAGACCCTGTGCCACGGGTCTCCAGACTTGAAGACTTCAATTCCCAGAATTCCCCCAACCAGACCATTTGCTGCCAGCTGGGGCATTCTGGGAATTGAAGTCCACAAGTCGTAAAAGGGCCCCTGTTCTATACTATTCAAGTGGACTCAAATTCTGCCTGCAAAGAACGTCAATTTCTTTCTCTTTTCAGCTATTATTATTACTATTACTATTATTGTTATTAATGTTATTATTTCTGGTCCACCCCTCCTGAATCTCAGCCTGTTTCCGGGCCTCGATTGCCAGCAGCTCAAAGCATATACCAAGTTTAGTTCCTAAGTTGCTACAGATATACCTCCCAAGAAATGAGAAATTAATTGTCCAGAACAGCTTCCTGGCTAATTTGGGAACATTTGAGCTTTTAGAGATATTTTTAGCTGCTTGTAGGAAGAGAAGTTTATAAATACTATAAATGGTTCACCTTCCTTTTTTTTCCCCCTTTAATTTTACAGGCTTAACCCTTATTGCTTCCTCAGCAGCCTTGTTGCCATTGAGCCAGGTATTTCTCTGTGCTGCCCCGACCACCACGAGAAGTTATGAATTCATCGCTGCACAAAATGTCCTTCCAGAAGGCAAAAGACGAGAAGCAACGGATGGAAACTGATCAAGGAGAGAAGCCACCTGGAATTAAGGAGGAACTTCCTGACGGGGAGGACAGTTAGCCAGTGGAACTGCTTGCCACCAGAGGTTGTAGGGGCTACATCACTAGAGGTTTTTAAGGAGAGACTGGACAGCCATTTGTCTGGACTGGTGTAGGGTCTCCTGCTTGAGTAGGGGGTTGGACTACAAGACCTCTGAGGTCCCTTCCAGCTCTATTCTGATTGATTGAAATGGTGTAGGGTCTCCTGCTTGAGCAGGGGGTCAGACTAGAAGACCTTTAAGGTCCCTTCCATCTCTTCTCTTCTCTTTGCAACCAAGTCATTCCAATCCTTGAGCTTTTGTTCTTTTCATTCTTCTCTCCTCTCCTCTTCTCTCTTCTCTTCTCTTTGCAACCAAATCATTCCAATCCTTGAGTTTTTGTTCTCTTTTCATTCTTCTCTTCTCTACTCTTCTCTTCTCCTCTTTGCAACCAAGTCATTCTAATCCTTGAGCTTTTGTTCTCTTTTCATTCTTCTCTTCTCTTCTCTCTTCTCTGCCAAGTTTGACCCCTGCCAAAATTTGCTGCCCGCTAAACGCCGCTGCCCGCACATCATTCCCTTCTCTCTAATTACGGCAGTAATTTCCTTTATTTTAATTTTCTCTTCTTTTTTTTGGGGCCCCCATCTTACGGCAACCCGCGAAACCCATCAACACAAATTGCACCGTGACCACAACTCCTGAAGCCAAGCTGGGCCGCTAACGCATCATTTGGCCTCCCTCTCTATTTTCCCAAGCTTGATTTGCCGGGAACAAACATCCGTATATTTTTTCCCTCCCCCTCCCCCCCCAGACAAAATGAGAAACGAATTGGTGTCGAAAATGGATTCTTTGCTTGGAAGCAGAGCGAACGCCAGCCAATGGAGGTAATTTTGAGCAGGAGGCCAATGGTGGTTTGCTGTCGCGCACGGAAACAGCCGCTCTTCTTCCCGAGGTTGTGGCCGGCTCCTGCTGGGAAAATGGGAGCGAGGACACCAAAGCATCCTCTTTAAATAGGACAACTTTCTCCCTGTATCAGCCAAGGCTTGGCCAGCGATTAGGAATGTAATTGCGCGGAAGAGAGAAAAAAGCTTAAAACTACACGACTGGCAATTCTTCCTATGCTGGTTATTTTGGAGAAGGCGGCGTGTTTTGTGCATGTGTGCGTGGACGCCTTTCTGCTCCCAAAAATGAAATACAAAAAATGCAAAATAAACCGAGGGATCAGAGCACGGGGGGAGGTGGTGATGAAACGAGCCAGCTTTGAACCCCAAAAGATAATCACAGGCGGTCCTGGAGTTACGGCCGCAATTAGGAGCCCCGGATTTTTGTGTTGCTAAGTGAAAAGTGAATTTTGCCCCGTTTTTTTTTTTTTTACGATCTTTCTTGCCATGGCTGGTACCCTCTTAAGCAGTCCAACCCCCAGCTGAAGCAGGAGACCCTAGAGCATTTCAACCAATCAATCAGAGGGACCTTGGAGGTCTTCTAGTCTAGCCCCTTGCTCAAGCAGGAGGCCCTAGACCATTTAAATCAATCGATCAATGGAAGGGACCTTGGAGGTCTTCTAGTCCAACCCCAGCTGAAGCAGGAGACTCTGTCTCCTTTCAATCAATCAATCAGAATAGAGATGAAGGGACCTTGGAGGTCTTCTAGTCCAGCCCCTTGCTCAAGCAGGGAAGGATGGATGGATGGATGGATGGATGGATGGATGGAAGGAAGGAAAAAAAATATTCTAGATAGAAAGCGTGGGACGGAGGGAGGAAGGGAGGGAAGAAGGAAGGAAGTAAAATATTCTAGATAGAAAGGGAGGGAGGGAGAAAGAGAGGAAGGAAAAAAAGATATTCTAGAAAGATGGGAGGGAGGGAGGGAGGGAGGGAGGGAGGAAGGAAGGAAGGAAGGAAGGAAGGAAGGAAGGAAGGAAGGAAGGAAGGAAGGAAGGAAGGAAGGAAGGGAGAGAGAAAGGAATTTTGTCCCCAAGGGGCTGAGGGAGGTGTATTTTTGTATGTCTGTGTCTTCTTCCTCTCCTCCTTTGAAATTGGCTTCCATTTATCCAGCAGACGTTTATCAAGCCACCCTCGAGATTTGCTTCCCCTTCTTTTAAAGCTTTTCTGTGTCCTTGCTCTGCAGTGGGGGGGGAGGCAGCTAAAGAGGGTCTCTCTTCCCCCCCCCCCAGCCAGAAAAAAGTGGAAAGTGAATTCTTTTTTTATTATTATTATTTCCTTTCTCATCAATCAGCACGCCTGTCCTTGGCCCACCTAACCTCAACCCAGGGCGTTCTCTTTCATGGTTTAAAGAGAATTGCAAAGCAGGGTTGCGTCCCCTGAATCCGAAGCTGGCTTGATGTCGGCTTAGATCTCACCCTGAGATGGCTCTGACGGCCAGGGGAACAAAGGCTGGCCTCGCCACGGTGGCCCCCTTGAAGTATTTCTCTGCCCGTTTTTTGCGTTCTTTTCGACGTTTGGCAATGACACAGACGGATTGTCTCCAGGAGGAGAGGTGGCCAAGTGGGTCACCTCCACCTTCTTCTGGTTATTTGGACTGATTGTTTACGTGCCACAAAGTCCATGCCGGCTTTTCATCATCACATAAATTGGATGGTCTATCCCTAAAAGCTGGTCTTTCAGACCTTCTGATGGTTCTTCCACCTTCGGTGGTGGTCCTCTTCTTCTCGTTCCTTCCACCTTTCCTAACCTCAGAACCTTCTCCAGATCTTCAGGGGTCCAAAGTAGGATCCTTTGAACCCCAGTCTTGTGTGACTTGAGTGAGAGGTTTACGTTGACTTATTCAATGATTTAGGCTTTCTTGGCTGTCCGTGGTCTTCTGCAGGCTCTGTTCCATCTACCAAGTTCAAAGGTATCCACGTTCGTCCTCCTCTGCTCCTTCAAAGTCCAACTTTGGTCACAGGGAAGACTGTGGCTTGCCCAACTGGGATCTTTGTAGGTGTAGACACCTCACAACATCTGAGTATCTTCTCCAAGGGCTCCTGGACCAATCACCAGGATACGGTGAGTTCTAGCCATGAAAGTTGGCTGAGTGCCTTTGGGCCAATCACCAGCCCACCTCACAAAGTTGTCGTCCTGCCGGCTTCGTTCGATTTGACCCCAAATCCCAGAACGGCTGAGGATTATGGAGTATTTGCCATCCTAGGTGCTAATGGAAAGGGGAACACACGAATCGTGTTTCAAAAGGAAGACATTTCGAGACACGTCGCAATCAATCTAACCCAAAGTGTGTTTTTCTGGCCAGGATGAAAACAGGGGATTAATTCTGTCAACAAGGAATGGGTTTTCCGGCTCACCGACAGCGGTCTGTAAAAAATATCTAGCATCTGGAAACTTATTAAAAAGATTCCCCTCTCCCCCGTAGAATTAATCACATAACTTTTCCCATTATAAAGAAGGTTTCACTCTGTTAATAACTAGTGTTGGGGAAGGTAGATGACAATCCCAGGAACGAGGCTCTTAATTGCTTAATTACTAGGCAGTCTGTCAGCAAAAGCCAGCAGAAATTGATACGGCGGCCCAGGCCGGAGTCAATTAATTGATTATATTCTGATACACTTGCATAGAGAGATAAAGTAATTGCTGTGGATGAAAGCAGAGATAAGCCCCCCCCCCGGTAATCCGAATTGTGGGTCTAGATGGCGTTGAGCCAGGTAGAGAGAGAGAATGCAGAGAGAAAAACTGCATTACTGGGAAGGAAGGAAGGAAGGAAGGAAGGAAGGAAGGAAGGAAGGAAGGAAGGAAGGAAGGAAGGAAGGAAGGAAGGAAGGAAGGAAGGAAATTAAAGGATGCAAGGATTGGAAACTACGGCTAGGTCCGTCCATTCAGGTAAACCATGATTTGTCTAAACCATTACTTTCTTGAATAAGCCAGATGGCTGGTGTGCGCTCCCAACATGCTAAGCCATAAATCATGGTTTATACAAATGGAGGAGAAGGAAAGGAAGGAGAGAAGGAGAGAAGAAGGAGAAGGAAAGGAAGGAGAGAAGGAGGAGGAGAAGGAAGAGAAGGAAAGGAAGGAGAGGTGAAGGAGAAAGAATGGAAGGAGGGAAGAAGGAGTAAAGGAGAGACATCGCTTCAAACTTGCAAGATTCTGTCAATGTAATTTACAAACAAGGTAGGATTATTACCCATAAATTGCACTTCTTCTCTGAACTATGCAAAGGGCGAATACTCTCCTCCTCCAAGCACTCTCTCCAAGCCTACCCAGAGTTCTGAGAGAGAACCTCCTCTTAAAAACACAGAATCAGAAAGAGAGAGAGAGAGAGAGAGAGAGAGAGAGAGAGAGAGAGAGAGAGAAAACTGGAAGGGAAAACGCATAGTCTTTGGCGCCCCCAGCCGACAAAACCTTGCAAATCGCTTTTGCAGGCAGAGAGGTCAAAAAGCTTGGCAAGCTTTTGTGTGTGTGTGTGTGTGTGTGTGTGTGTGTGTGTGTGATCCCTCTCGCAAATGACGCAACCCACAAAGCTTGAGGGGAGGGGGAGGAACGGACATGCAGGGCCACAGCAGCGGAAGGGTGAAATATCCTATCATAAATGGGGCGTTTTATTTGTAGGTGGAGATGGAGGAGGGGGCGATGATGATGGCTTAAAGCTGGCTTGACGAAGAATTTTATCTGTGCAGATCAGATTGGGGGGGGGGAAATGGAGGTCACACTCTCCTCCCATTCTTGTTTCGTGGGTTGGCAGCTATTCTTAGGGGAGAGGCAGGAATTGTTTGTGCTGCACGTAGGGGCAAGTTCACGAAATGCAAGCCAGTGGGTGAGAGCTAGCCAGGGTTAAAATGGTTCGGGGGGATGGGAGACCACTAAGAGATCGTGTAGGGTAGAATTGCAAAAGCAGAAACACAAAAAAGTCTTGCAGGGAGGAGAGGAGAGGGGTTGGAAGAATGGGAGGAGAAGAGAGAAGAAAGAAGGGAAGGGAAGGGAAGGGAAGGGAAGGGAAGGAGAAAAAAGGAAAGGAAAGGAAAGGAAAGGAAAGGAAGAAGGAAGGGAAGGGAAGGAAAGGGAGGAAAAAGGAAGGGGAGGAAAGGAAAGGAAGGAGAAAGAGAGGGAATGGGAAAGGAAAAATAGGATAATAATAACAACAACAACAACAACTATACAAAATGAATCCAATTTGTAACTTGGAGAAAGCAGAATGCAGAGGCAAAGTCAGTACACTCTTGTCACCACCAGGGGGCAGCACAACACCACTGAATTTTACAATAAAAAAAAGTTGCTCAGAAACTTAAATTCTGGTGAAAACACCCACCTTGCTCTAAACTAATCAAGAATTCAAAATGCAGAGGGTGCAAGTCTCGGTTACACAACTTTTAGGGGTTCCAGCCCAGGTCAGTTAAGGGGAAAGAAGCGAAAAACCGGTTTAAAAGCGGATGACAGAGTTGGGAGGGTCCACTTGAGATCATTTAGTCCAAGCAGCTGCTCAGGGCAGGAATCCAAATTAAAAGTCTAAATTAGAGCAGTTTAGGGCTGAAAACACCCCTTGAAGCCCCCCACCCATGTGTTGCAGTTGTTATTATTATTATTATTTAATTATAATTATTGATTATTATTAAGATGTTTTTAAAATCCGGTAGGCCGAGGTGTAAAAATGGCTAACCGCTAAAACAGCAGGCAGCCTAGAAAAGGGAGAAAGGTAAATGATTTCTCCTGTTTTCCCAACATTTAACAGAATTCCAATTAAATAAAGATGAAATAAAACGAAAATGCAATTAACTACAGCCAGCTGGGAGGTCCGTAATCGTGGCTTTTTCCCCCCAACGATCTCAGGAGATAATTAGCCAAGAATGTGCTACTATTCAGTGATAAGAGATTGAAGTGGGGGGGGGGGGAGAGCATAAGAAACACCCTACACCCTGGGAGATAGATTGATCAAGATTGTAGATCAGGACTGGTGCCTCCTTAAGCAGGAGCAGTCTACCCATCGTAAAGTGGCCGAGTTTGAGAAACCCTGGCTCTCTTGCTCAAGTTCGGAACAAGTTAGCGGGCCTGGAGATAAAAACCAGAACATGATTTAAAAAAAAAAAAGCAAGCTGTAGAGATGGGTGCTAATTTAACCAAGATGTCCGGGAAAGCCATCTCAGCTAATTTAAACCAGCCAGGAATTGTTGTAACTTCCCGGCAAAGCTGGCTTGAGAATGGAAAAGTCGGCCAACGAACAGCCATTCGCGGGTCCACCCGGTCTCTCTGGACCCTGTGTGGTCTTCCGCTAAATCAGGATGGGGATCCTTCCCGTCACTTCCCACGGGGGGGTCTTTACACGATGTTAAAATCTATCTATCTATCTATCTATCTATCTATCTATCTATCTATCTATCTATCTATCTATCTATCTATCTATCATATAAATTTAAAAAGTAGTTCTCTATGGTTATCATGGGGTTCTGCCCATTTTAATCACAGCCTCCCCTCCTTTGGGGAGGGGTATCACTGCATTTTGGGGCACCCCCTTACCGTAACCCTAGATCTGAAAAAAAGGCGATCTTCTTTTGCGACCAAAGTCAATGGGGGAAGCCAGATTCACTTAACAACCGTGTGACTGGCTTAACAACCGTAACAACTTGGATTTGCTGAATGAGCACATGACCCTTTGGACAGCTGCAGTGATCCACTTAGTGACCAGGGTAAAATTCGTGACCAGGGTAAAATCAGGCACGGCTCACCTTGCTTAGCCATGGAAATTCTTCTCCCAACTGTGCTCGTGAGCCGAGGACGGCCTGTGCTCCAAAATCGAAGAGTCGCGTTCAGAAAGAGAAAAAAATCCTGCACTACAAGGAGCTGCTTTGGATTTTGGAAAAAAAAAAAACAGTAACTTTTTTAGTTGTTTCTGGCCTCCTCGTCAGAAATAAAAACAACATCGATTGAGCCAGTTCGGGGTTAAAATTCCTTCCGATGCGAGACCGGTTATTCATAGGTTGTTGCTGTGCTTCAGAATTCTTCACGGTTGTTTATTCTGCGGTTGCATTCCGAGGGAGTGAACTCACAAAACACAAAGCTGAAAAAGAAAAAAGGAAAAAAAAAATCATGCTCCGTTGCAATGACTAATTTATATTCTGTTAATTTCGGTTGGATTTCGTCCGGAGCACCATCCGCAAACATCTAGAAATGGCCCAAGAAGCTTTTCTAGCTACGGAGATGCTTAGAAGGGCCCTTGCTTCAAAGTGTTTCCAATGGGGAGTGGGGGGGGGAAGCCATTTGAGTTTGGAGGTTTCTCAATCGTGGCCATTTGAAGCTGGGTGGACTACAATGCCCAGAATTCCCCAGCCAGCGTGATCATTCAGACTCCTCCTGTTCCCATCTATGATAGAAAAGCAAGAGTCGAGAAAGTTGCTCTGTAGAGAAAATAGAATAGAACAGAACAGAATAGAATAGAATTCAGAATAGAATAGAATAGAATAGAATTCAGAATAGAATAGAATAACAGAATAGAATACATAATAGAAGAGAATATAGAATAGAATAGTAGAATAGAACAGAATAGAATAACAGAACAGAATAGAACAGAAGAGAAGAACAGAACAGAACAGAATAGAATTCAGAATAGAATAGAATAGAATTCAGAATAGAATAGAATACATAATAGAATAGAATATAGAACAGAATAGAATAGAATAACAGAACAGAACAGAATTGAATAGAATTCAGAATAGAATAGAATAGAATTCAGAATAGAATAGAGAATATATAGAATAGAGAATATATAGAATATAGACTAGAATAGAGTATTAAGTGCAAGAAATGTAGGAGAAAAAAAAAAGAAATTGTCCTGTTTTAAACACTCCCTAAGTAGGGCCAAGCAGCTTCGGTTCATTTAAACTGCGGTGGAATTTTTGTGCCCCGAGGCAAAAATCTAATGTTAAAAAATGTAAAATATGGAGGCTCCTTTTTCAGATAGAAACACCTGTTAAGAATGTTGTTGAGTTTTTTCCCCTCCAATTTATTGCTTTCTTTCTTTTTTTAATAGAAGAGAATAAAGCCGGTTCTTTTACACTCCCCCAATTTTCTCACATATACACGCATACACACACGCGACACACAAACACACACATATACAAACATATATATATATACATACACAACAGTGTGGAAGGAAGGGACCAGTCCTTGAAGTTTGATAAGATTTTCTGAGAAGTGATTTTTGGAAGGAAGGAAGGAAGGAAGGAAGGAAGGAAGGAAGGAAGGAAGGAAGGAAGGAAGGAAGGAAGGAAGGAAGGAAGGAAGGAAGGAAGGAAAAAAGTTTTTAAGAAGCCTGCACCCCCTCCGATCCTGTCACACAACTGATTTGTCTGCCTGGTGTGTTGTTTCTCCTGTCCGTGGAGTAACCGTTATAATCCCACCACAGCTCTACAGCAAAGATATATAAACTCTGTCACTGGGACGGGACCCTAAAGGCATAAATCACGGAATATTTAGGAAACCGATCTACATTTATTGCACTTAATACTCTATTTAGAGCCTCTATGTCAGCCCAATAAATCAGGGATGTTGCCGTGTTTAGTGGGATGGGTGGGTGGGATTCGCATCCCCCTTCCCCATCTTCCTTCTTGCAGCCTGTGGAAAATCAGAGCAGAGACCTTGTCGTTTCCTTCCATAAAATGGGCATTTCTGGGCAGAAAATTTCTTTTTTTCTTATCTCGATTCAACGTATTTCAGTTAGTCCTCGACTAAATGTCAAGTTAACAAATGTGGCAAGGAAAGTCGTAAAATGGGGCGAAATCCACTTAATACGTGTCTCACTTAGCAACATAGATACACACACACACACACAAGAATCTTGAAAACAGGACACACACTGACTTAATGAGATGACCTTTATAAATACAACTGAAATATAAGCTGTTTAAAAAAAGATGTCAAGGAGAGAACAATGAACCAGTGGAACAGCCGGCCACCAGAAATTGTGAGTGATGCATCACTGGAGGTTTTTAAGGACACATTGATTGATTGAAATGGTCTAGGGCTTCCTGCTGGAGCAGGGAATTGGACTAGAAGACCTCCAAGGTCCCTTCCAGCTCTATTCTGATTGATTGATTGACTGATTGAAAGGGCATAGGATCTCCTCTTTGAGCAGGGGGTTGGACTAGAAGACCTCCAAGGTCCCTTCCAATCCTGTTATTCTGTTGTTGTTTGTTAACAGTGCAAAGCCTGTCTGGATGCCTGGGGGGGGGAGGCTTGGGGAGGGGGGCGGACCCCTCTTCCTTTGAAGGGTTCCTCCTGAGTCCCACCATCCCAAGGGACGGGATCTCCTGGGAGGACAAGGTACGATGGGAGGCCCGGAATGCTTGACTTGCTTCAAAGGACCTGCTTGAAACGGGGAGGCACTTCCAGCCAGGAGAATCGGGGAAACAGCCCGGAAATTTAACAAGCTCTGAAAGGCAGCCTCCTGGGCTGCTTACGAGACCGGAGAAGCGAGATCAAAAGACGGCAAAGCTATAAATTGGGCTCCTCGTGTTTTTTTTTCTCCTCCGGCCTGTGAGATAGAGATCTCTCCCATCCAGCTGTGCAGAGGGTTCTCCCTCCTTCTTGAAGTTCCAGCAAGTTAGGATTTTATATATATATAAATATAGGCAATTCACCCAAAATTAGATTCTGCTGGGATCTGAAGGAAAGCGATTGTGGAGAAGAATTTATTTGCTTTCATCCCTGGAGGCTTTTCAAGAAGACACTAGGCAGCCATTAGTCCAGGGTCTCCTGCTTGAGCAGGGGGCTGGACTAGATGACCTCCGAGGTCCCTCCCAGCTCTATTCTCATTGACTGATGGATGGAAATGGTCTAGGGCAGGGGGGTCTTCAAACTTGGCCCTTTTATGACTTGTGGACTTCAACACCCAGAAGGCCTCAGCCAGCGTGCACACGTTGGAAGTCCACAAGTCATAACAGGGCCAGGTTTGAAGACAGCCCCCCCCCTCTGGTCTAGGGTCTCCTACTTGAGCAGGGGAGACCTCCAAGGTTCCTTCTTCCAACTGTGCTCTTCTCTTCTTCAATGACTGCTCACGTGTGCCTCTGTGTGTGTGTGGGGGGGGAAAACCTTGCCTGGCTTTGCATCTGTGCATGAGCAAGGACCCTTCCCCCCCCCCCCGCTACCCCCTTGCCAGTCCGTGCCCCGGCACTCGGCCTGTCACGCCAGTGACTCACATGGCAGGGAGGGGCAGGGCGGAAGGGAAGAGCAGAGAAGAGCCCAGGGAAGAGGGCTGCAACCGGGCAACCGGCCCGCAAACAAACCCTGGGGGGGTCGGCCTGGGAGAGCCGGTTTCGCAGGACCACACCTGTCCCGGGCCGTGATTGACAGGGCAAAGGGATCCGTTCACCCCCTGCCAAAAGGGCTGGACAGAGGCCAAGGGTTCAGAGCAGGAAGGAGGGAAGCCTCCAAGTTGAACCCACTGGATCCACTCGGACCCCCTCACCCTTTTCCGACTCGCTCTTCCAAGCCAGCGGGGGGGGGAACGAGGGAGAAGACCCAGAACTTTGTGGAGGCTGAGCTGAGCAGCCTTTCGCCTGGAAAAGCTGCCCGCGGTTCTATTTTCTCCCAAATCTCTTTTCACAGATGATGAAATGATGATTAAAAGAATAATAATTTTTTAAAAAACAAAACAAAACACGGGCCTTCCCGTTCAGGAAGCCTGCGTTATCATTGGAGCTGATTAGCAAAGAGCCGAGGCCGGGAAGCAAAAGAGAAGAGACACTCCAGACCTGGGCTGGAAACCCCAGCAAAACCCCGGGAATCACGCCGAGAAACCATAATGGAATCAGAAAGACATGGAATCAAACTGGGTTTGTTCCACGCCAAACGTTGAGCTTTGCAAGCTCCTTTCCAACCAGCTTTGCTCCACTCCAAAAGGTTGAGCTTTTTGCAAACTCCTTTCAAACCAGCTTTGCTCCACTCCAAAAGGTTGAGCTTTTTGCAAGCCCCTTTCAAACCAGCTTTGCTCCACTCCAAAAGGTTGAGCTTTTTGCAAGCCCCTTTCCAACCAGCTTTGCTCCACTCCAAAAGGTTGAGCTTTTTGCAAGCCCCTTTCCAACCAGCTTTGTCCACTCCAAAAGGTTGAGCTTTTTGCAAGCCCCTTTCCAACCAGCTTTGCTCTACTCCACAAGGTTGAGCTTTTTGCAAGCCCTTTTCCGAGTTTCTTGAACTTTCGGTCCAAAGGTGCCGTGGTGTGGTTTCCCCCCCCCCCAAGTTGGGATGACGTCTGCCCGCTTGGCAATCCCCTCCCATGGCTTTCTCACAACGCCCGGGCGACGTCCTCGCCCACCACACCCTCCGGAGCCGATCGGAGCAGCCCTGGGATCTCTCCTGCCCAGCACACCCATCTTCCCAGCCCGTCCTGACATCCGGCGTGATTAAAGCGTCGCCATCCTGCAGGCCTTGCCTTTCCAGCTAGCCCTGTCTCCCGGCCGCCTCCGATAAGCGGAGAAACGGTCTCCTCCTGCTTTATCCCAAGCATAACAACAACAACCAAAAAAAGTCTTAGGCAGGGGCTGAATTGGCACTCCAAGGGTCTCCACCCTTTTGTAAATCTTGGGCACCTTGGGGGGGGGGGGAGAAGAACTGGGCAAAGAAGGAACCTGGTGGGAAAAAAAAAAACAATCTCCAACTATATGGTGGAGTTTGGGGTGGTGTAGCCGGTCCTTCCGTGTTATGATGCTCCTTTGCAATCTGCCCTTTTTCCATGCCGACTCTTTCTCATCCTTCCCGCTCGGTTTGCCTGGCCCACTTGAGGGGGAGATCCTGGTTTTGGAGAGAGATGCTTCTTCTTCGGCCCTGTTTTGTGCTGTTAAAAATTGGGGCCTTTTTTTTCTTCTTCTTCCATTGAGTTGCAACTGGAGGCATCGTTCTTACCTTCCCCTTAATTTTTGCAAGGATTTTCGTCTCACAATGATGCTTCCTTTGCATGTTTCTTGCGACATTCTTCTTCTTCTTCTTCTTCTTCTTCTTCTTCTTCTTCTTCTTCTTCTTCTTCTTCTTCTTCTTCTTCTTCTTCTTCTCCTCCTCCTCCTCCTCCTCCTCCTCCTCCTCCTCCTTCTTGAAAATATATTTTTAAGAAGAAACTGGACAGCCATATATCCATAATGGTACAAGATCTGCTGCTTAAGCAGGGGGTTGGACTAGAAGATCTCCGAGATCCCTTCCAACTTTTGTTATCCTGTTATTCTACTACTTATTCTGTTATTTTCCTTCCTTCCTTCCTTCCTTCCTTCC